TTTGATGTCTAAGGCTTCACCAAAAACCAAGTGGACTAAAAAGTCCCTGAAACAAAAAAATTTAAAACTAACCGAAAATAATACATATTGCAGGGGCAATTTTGTAAAACAAATATGAAATTTTTACATTTTTTTTACACTAAAAATTAAATGGAAAAAGTAAAAACTAAATGAAGTTTTAATGTAAATGATCATTTAGATTATACAGTGATTCTGTATTACTCCAAAAACAATTATTGTTAGCATATTCGACAATGTGTCTTTTTCAACCTAAAAGCAAATCTCTACTAATAGAATGCCAGAAGCCAACTTTAATATCTAAGGCTTCACCAAAAACCAAGTGGACTAAAAAGTCCCTGAAACAAAAAAATTTAAAATGAACCGAAAATAATACATATTGCAGGGGCAATTTTGTAAAACAAATATGAAATTTTTACATTTTTTTACACTAAAAATTAAACGGAAAAAGTAAAAACTAAATAGAAAAAACCAAGAACCGCTTCTCCCACGACAGCATGCTCTTTGTTCCTCCTACAAAACTTCAACCACCTTCTTCGTTCCTCCCACAAAACTTCACCACGTTCAATCTCCGTGGAAAATAAAACAGGGTTCCTCGATAATTAAGTATTTAACTTCCTCAACCCTAATTTATTTGTGGGATATCTGAGAAAAACCTATTGAGACTTGAGAAGGGCCGAAACAACCCAACGTACTCCGCTCATTGCTCATCTTTCCATCTCGCATGGTAATTGCAGCTACTGCTTCTCATCAACCACAATCATCTTACGTATTCAACTTTTTTTTTTCTTTTTTTTTTTTTTTGCAGTTTTAGTTCCTCTCGTTACTTCTCCATATCAAAGAACTAAAATAGTTTCTTTCTCTATTGCACTTCTTTTCATTATGTTTTTATTATTAGTCGCTTAAATTGATCTTCTCATGGCAGGATAACGAATTTGCAAACTTTGATTTTATATTAGGGTTTTCTCCATATGTCATCAATTTTAATTTGAACTTTTTCTATACATGTTATATCAGCCTCTCTTTCCCAAACTGTTCAGTTATCAACTTGGATTTCCTTTGAAGTTTTGTTGTTGTTGTTGTTGTGTAATCTGTAACAGTTTGTAATTACAGTTCAGATATGCATGCCTTCATTCATTTGATTTTATTTCACTTTTGTTGTTGTATTTATATGCTTTTACAACTAAATTTATTCTGTCCTAAATATTTGTAGCTTTGAATTTCAAATAATTAGGATGGAATGGCTTTTGGAGAGAGTCGATGTGAGGCACTGCTGCTGCTGCGTCAGAAATAGAAAAGGTTACTTTCCCTGCCAGAGATGAAATAGAAAGGGATGACATGAATGGTGGTTATGCATTACTTTCCCTGGAAGGCAATGCAGCCGTTGGCCTTCTAAAAACGAAGAGACAGAGAGGAAAAAAAAAAAAAGTATTTTCCTTTTGCCTTATGATTTATGGTTCAACTATATATAATGGATGTAAGATAAATTTTTCTTCTTTTTTAATTTTTGTTCTTTTGTCTTTATGTCGCCTTTTGGTTTTCCTTATCAATTAGTTGATGTACTGATGTTTTAAGTTCATACAGTGTACTCTATATTAACAAAGTTTATGTACATTTTGCATCTTTGTTGCAGTCTAATTAATCGTATACGTCCGCATGACGAAGTCCGATTGAGACGTACAAATGTTTTGCATTTTCAAAAGTCAAACCAAAAGCATCGTAGGAGCAATGCGTTTACCTATTTACACTATATGCTTCATTATACAAGGATCATAAACACAACATGGGATTGCAAGAAATGTTGTACATACAAATATTTTGTTTCCATCTAAGTTATGATGTAATTTTTAAAAAATTTAGTACTTAATGTCACATAAAGATCTCCTCCCTTCTAAATTTGTGATTTGTCTTATGAATGTCATTTTTTTCCTATTTTGGGTCAATGCGTCAAGACTTAACATTATTTAGTTTTGGCACCTTCAAAAACTTTATCCCATGTTCTTCAATGTAATATTAAGAGCACTTCTAGCATCCTCTTTTGCCATGGGGACCTACTCCATTTGCAATCCAATCCCCTGCCAAAGTGGCGCCAGTCCATTCGAGCAATTGGACTGAGGGGGAGCCCATGGGAGAATTTAGCCACGTTATAAAAATTTTTGCGTCAGGCACGTGCATAACACGCATGCTTAGGGGGCGCATTACAAACAAGATTTCATACGATGGGACCCACGTGGCAGCCCACTCAATAGCCGTTGAATCTGGACCGTTTGACTTCCAGATCAACGGTCCTGGTTTTTCAGCTTTAAAAATTAAAAAAATAATAAGAAAAATAAGAAGAAAAATAACATAAATGTTACGGTGGGCCACGTGTCACAATCTGGACCGTTGGATAATTCAATTTTTTTTTGTAATCCAATGTTTCAGATTAATTAAGTTAATAAAAAAAAAATTAAAAATAAGAAAAAATTTCAAATTTTTAGATTTTTTTTTTCTATAAATACCTTACCATTTTGTAAGATCCCACATCCCAAGGATGTGGATCCTGTAAGCCTTATATGTATATTCTCATCTCTACCCAGCACGAGGCCTTTTGGGAACTCACTAACTTCGGGTTCCATCGGAACTCCGAAGTTAAACGAGTTCTAGTGAGAGCATTCCCAGCAACAAAACCGTGAGGGCGTGGTCAGGGTCCAAAGCAAACAATATCGTGCTACGGTTGAGTCGAGCCTGGGATGTGGTGGGGGCCTAGGCCGGGATGTGACAATTTTCTCCCGCCTTACACCACATTTCAATATTTTCAACGATTCTAAACATGGAAGGACACGTCGCGCGACGGAATTGGTTAAAAATCTTATCGAAATCTATTCACAAAAATTGTATTTTCGAATCATGACACGTGACATGGCGAGCTCATTTAAAAATCCTATCCAAAATTAAAAAATAAATTATTTTTTATTATTTTAGAAAATAAAATTACTAATATTTTATTGCCTATTGCCATGACTATTCAATTTACTGTTAGGGATAGAGATATAAAAGACCATTCATGTTCGTTAAAGGAAGTTATTATTCACTTGAGGGGATTGAATTGCCTATTGCCAAGGGAGCCTTTACACACTAGAAGTGCTCTAACGTCATTTTCATTTATTCATTAATCAAACATATCTAAAATTTTAAATCTTTAAGGGCGCGTAGCACCCGTTATGTGAAAAAGACCTTTCGCATGCGCATAAGTGCGTGCAGAAAGGCTAGTCTATATATAAAGCCAACACAAAGGTGAATAGTAATTTTGGTGTCACCAAGCTTCAACAAAAATGCCTCCAAGACAAAAAACTTCAAAGGCATCCCAAAATAATGCATCAAGTAAGGCAGGGCATTTTCGTTATTTTAACAGTGTTTTTTTTTTTTAATTATTAATTTTTTGGTATATATATATATATATATATTTTAAATAAATTAGTGTCTCACAATAGACTAGCAATAATATGATTCAATTTCTCTATTTTGAAACACGTTCAAAACATCTTAAGAGGTGTGTAATGCCGGCTATAAAAAAGGTCTTTCACAACAGGGATAATAATGTGATTAAATAAGTTGTCAAATAATTTTTTTTAACAACGATATTATCTACACTAAGGGGGAGGGGATGGGTTTAGCCTCACAATGGGCTAGCAATAATGTGATTCAATCAGTTGTTTATTAAATATTATTTTTCTATTTTTAAACATGTTTAAAACATCTTAATAGGCATGTAATGCGGATTATAAAAAAAAAAAGGTCTTTTGCACGTGAATAATAATGTGATTAAATTAATTGTCAAATGATTGTTTTTTTTTTTTTTTTTAACAAATGATATTATCTACACTAAGGGGAAAGGGATGAGCTTAGCCTCAAAATGGCCTAACAATAATGTGATTCAATAAATTGTTTATTAAATATTATTTTTTCTATTATTAATGTAAATTCTATAGAGACCGATTTTATTATATGAATTCAGTTGCTTTAATTGGTTTATGAGGAGTTTTTTTCTAGCATGATCTAAAATTATTCATTTACTTTAAATATTTGACTTTCCTTTTGTCAATTTACGCATATAGATGCATTTAAAACTTGTAAATCGCGCATAGCACGCCGTGATTCAAAAAATATCTTCTGCACTCTCGTGAGTGCGTGCATGAAGGCTAGTTTAATGTCATTATGTCCACTATTAATATCTTGTCAAATTTTATAACTAACGTTGCCATTGTTGTCCTTGTTTGACACATTTCAAAAAGTTTAGGGACCAACTTAGAACAAAAAAAAAAGTTTGAGGACCAAGGTTAAACAACCACTAAAATTTAAGAACCAAGTTTGTAAAAAATTAAAACTTCAAAATTTTATAGTGTTTTCAAATTTGAGTCCTTCATACACTTCATTTAAAATAAAATAAAACACTTTAGAATTCAAACTTAATTTAAAAAAAAAAAAAAAAAAAAAAAAAAAAAAAAAAACCAAACCAAAAATAAAGGGTGCCTGTATCGGCACCCAATTTTTAGTTAAACTCACCTAATTTTTAATAAAGCTTTCATTTTTTTTGTTATAACTTTGAACAAAATGACCAAAAGGGACAGACATTAAATAAAGCTAAAGAAAACTCACATATGATTTTGTTACTGAACCCAACTCCCACACCCACCCATAGTTCCTCCTTAATCTCACTTCCCAATTCCTCCAAAAACCTTAGCAATAGTCCTAATACAACAATAACACCAAAATTTTATGCCACTAAGTGGAGTCGCCTATAGAAATCGAAAAATGAAAAAAATGAAAGGGTTTTGTAACCGGATGCAACACTTTTATTTGTTACAACTAAAGCAACAATGGACATAATGAAAATTACGGAGCATGAAAATGTCGAAGTTTTCTCCATGCCTTGTTAATTTTGTTAAGAATCCTTCATCTGCATACGAATCCACCGCATCGACTACAAAAGCAGGCAAGTAGAAGACTACATACGACTACATATTTCATTTGCAATACCAGTAGTAGTCTGCCTGATTCATGTTTCAAAACACCACAATTCTCATACTACCACATATAAAGCAAAAGAAGTTCAAGGAAACTATTCCCCGGCAAAATCATAACTCCACAAAAAACCTATAGTTGCACTAGATTAGTCTTCAGGCTAACAAAAGAGAAATATATGTGCTCGAAAAGCGTTTGTGTGTCCCAACCTTACACGAGTTGATGCGGGACTAGATTGTATTAAGAGCAGGCTATAATCCGCAAAAGTTTAATCCTTGCTCAGCCTTGTATTCCTTCTCAGCTTTTTCTTTGCCTCGCCGTCAACTGCATCACCAGCAGCAACAGCATCTACGTTGCCCACATCATTGTCATCAACATGCTTGCTAGTATCAAGGTCATTGCCTGTTCCTGAAGATTCATCATGTGAAGAGGGTTCCACTGAAGGAGTTGATCCCTCTGCTACAACTTCTTCACCTGTGGTCTCTGAGTTTGTTGGGGAACGGCGGGTTTGGATAAGATAGTGTGCCACAGACTTGCAACCAAGTTTTATGACCTGATACATGAACAAAACTTAGCCATTGGTTCCCCACGTTAATTTGTTGCCTTGGTCTTTCTTTTCCATTATGTACGAAAAATCACAGTGCCCAAACATGTATTGAACAATTGTATGTAGATATATATGCATTTAAGTGTATGTGGGTGCGTGAGTTTGTGTGTTTGTGCCTGTGTTCTATTCTATTGCATGCTTTTCTCAGATGGGAGTAGCCCATTAAGTCCGGCATGCAGGGACCAAAGACTGTCAACTGGGAAACTGCAGGAAACATGCTTGGAGAAGAATATTACACCAAATTATGCATAAACCATACATGAATGTATGCATAAGGTTGATAAGGTTCACCTTTCTATACAGATTACCGGTGGGTTCCCACCCCTTTGCTTGACGGCAGAGACTACAGTTGCAGATGCCCCGACAAACAGGACATGTCCAACCAGGATTTTCATTGGCTTCAATCACATTCTCTCCATATCTATGGAACACAGTAATATTCAATGCATAAGACCATAAAATTGATAACAAAGATAAAATTTGCTTCTGGGTGAAAACATCCAAATTATTGGCGTGCGTAATGTGGCCTTGTTGTCAGTTGTCCTCATTGTACTCGTACAATCTTTTCATTCGTTGTACATTTTCGGTAAGACTTGGAACATAAAAATATAAAAAAATGTTTTCAACAGGTAACTTATGAAAAAATTCACCTCATGTATAAGCAATCTCCACAAAACTGCCCTTGGACCAAGTCACATTTCCAGCACTTTGTATGATGCCCAAGAGTTTTCTGCCTGCAAGGAAGTATGTTATCTCCAAACATATTTACCAAGCGAAAGGACACCTAAGCTCAAACAATACACGATGAATGTACTGTAGGAGTACATAATGAACCCAGTATAGCAGTTAATTTAACAACTTCTGCTATACCCTTGAGAAGGTGACTTCTTCAGTTGGGTTATTAATCACATTTATAAGCCTTCTCGATCACCAACGGTCCTTAAATTCTTGTTTCCATTTTAGATCAGAAAAAAAAGAGACTACTTACTAGTATAAAAGAATCGTACATGAATGAATAATCAGAAAGAGCATTTGCTTAAAAAATTTCAATTGGAAGCATAATTTGTGTGGCAATGACAAGACTCCTTAAGTGCTACATTTTCATCTATCCATAGAAGCAATCTGATGAAATGAAAGCCTAAACCCAAAACAGGCAACATACTTGTAATGTGTCTAACTTCTAAAGTAGTCGTGGAGTAAAAGGACAGAAAAATGGAAAACATACAATAAATGTAAAGCTTAAGACATTCACAAAACTCTGTCAGTCCTGAAATCCGCCGGGAGCTCAGGCAATCCTTTAACGGCAATGACTCAAATGACAAACAAGCCAATTGACAGAACTCTGTCAGTCTATTTAACATGACTAACTAGGCTCGCAGACTTACACATAAAATTGTTACTAAAATATTGGATTCTTCTACAAAATTCGATCTTATTATTACGAACATCATTACCAGCTATTCAATTAAGTTAGCTCATGTAAAATAAACATCCGAAATAAACACCTGAAAATCTATTACAAAAACAAAAATAAACATCCGAAATAGTATTTTCGATGGAATTTAGAAACCCATCAAATGCATGATGACCTACCTGCATTGATGGCAAGTTTCTCCATTAACCGGATCGTAAATGCGCTTCCGATCCTCACCATAGCCATCAACACCAAGCTCCCAGCTTTCGACACAATCCCCCAACAGCTTCTCATGTTCCTCTGTATAAATCTCTGGCTTTGAACCTTCCTTTATAAAAATTTCAACACTCTTTCTCTTTGAGCTCTCGTTTTTCTTCTTTTCCACATAATCTACTGGAGCCACACTCTTCAACCTAACAAAAACCCAAAAACAAAAAACTCTGTTTGAAAAAAAAAAACATCAAAACCCTTCAAAGATGCAAACTTTCCCACATTTTCTTTTCCATTTTCCCGGAATCCAAACAAGAGAGAAAGTGGGTTACCTGGAAGAGCGCCTGGGGGACCCAGGATTAGGAAGTGGGTTGTGGGTTTTGGGTCGGTAGGGACGTTTTGGGGCGGCAGCTTCGGTCTTGAGCTTCTTGGCAAGGTCCAAAATTCCCAGCTTCTGCAATCTCTCCTTGTTCTCTCTGATCTTTTGGTCCCTGAAGTGCTCGTACCCTGAAACCCCCGCACTTCCATTCTCTACGGTTGCTCCGCCGCCCTCTTCGGAGTCGCCTCCGCGTCGATTTCTCCGAACCACCATTGGAAATGGTGGACGGTGGAGCCGAAAGCACCTCTTGTAAACGAAAGTGGCAAAACCTCGGTACGCGCGAGTCTGAATGAGGGAGAGGGGAGGGGAGGAAGGGGGAATTTCAAAAAAGGTTGAAATTCTTTTTTTGGTTTTTGCGGGAAGTTAAAATTCAGTTTCGTTTCTTCATTTAGTATTATAATTTAGTAGTATTTCTCTGTAGTTGTAAATAAAAATGTTAAGTTTGAAGGTGAATTTGAACAACATTCTTGCTAATCTATTGTGAAACTTAATTCACTCCTTCATTCTTTTATGTAAATAATATCGTTTGTTCAAAAAAATTTAGTTGCATCCCTGTTAGAAATTTCTGCTAACCTATTGGAAAAGATTGTTTTGTGTCGATTGATTAGAGAAATATTATATAGTCCATATACAACTGAATGTAACTTTTGAATTTTTATTAATTAATGTGACAAGATGATCACATATTTTGTATGTTTGTAATTTGCTTCACAACGGAAAAATGTAATGAAATAAAAAACAATCAATCAATGTCCATAAATACATTTAAAACATGTACATTGCGACGAGAGAACATTTTACGCGTGCAAAGAATCTGGCAATTTCTCCTTCTTTGTTATTATTGGACAAGACATGCACCATTCAGCTTGAATAGGATCTATCTTTTATTTTTCTTTTTTTTTTGTTTTAACTATTACTCTACACAAAGTAAAAACAAAAAATACGACAATACGTCCATGATAAAGAAAGGGTGGTGGCACTCCTTGTTAGTTTATGTCATTTGATCCGAAACCAAAAATTGAGAAATGTGTGAAAGGTAAAAATGGTAGATAGATAGCATCATCGTAAAGAAAATGTCTTTTGCTTGAATATACTAAAAATACCTGTTAAAAATTATAATGGAAAGCAAGTAACACAATATATTTTTAGAAGCACATAGCGTTCGTAATTAAAAAAAAGCTTTTCGCATGCACGTGACTGTGTGCAAAGAGACTAGTGTAATGTAAAGATGGGAACACGACCCAAGAACACTCTAGCAACCAAAACTACTTCTTGTTTTGACGGTTACATGGATAACATATAAATCATTATTCTAGTTAAAGTAAATACAAAATACATGACAAATGTTTGAGACGTGCCTGTAGGGCCGTCCATGAGGTTAGCCGGAAGAAGCCTATGGCCCACGGTTACTAGGACAACAAATTTTGTTTTTTACTTAATAGATATATGTTATATAATAAATATAAAAAAAATATATTATAAGCAGTGCAGAGGAAAACGCACAAGCTACTTTCTCAAGATTCTTATTTCGAAAGCGTGGGTGTGCACTGTTTTTATGTATTTTATTTAGTTTTAGTTTTCTAGTTTGAAAAATGGGCTCAATCCATGTACATTTAAGAAGGGCCCATACAACTAAAAGTTTTATTTTTTTTAATCAAGATAAACAAAAACTAGACTCCTAACAACAAAGGAGAACATATTTCATGTGTAATTATCTTAGGCATGGCTTTTACTCCAAAGAAAGTATGAGCACAAGCCTTCACCATCATTTCTCTTCAATTCTCTTTCTCTCACTTCCTCTCCATCTCTTTCTTTTTCAAATTCTAAGCAATTTTATACAAGTGAAGGGGCAACTCAAAATATATCATTAGGTAAACTATGAATTTATTTTTTATTATTGTATATTTTGTTTGGTGTGTTAATTTTTTGTTCCAGTCTAAATGTTCGTAAGTGATGATATGTTAAATATTTACGAAATAACTATTAAAAAGGATAAATTATATGATCCTTATTCATTAAAATACCTATCAACTGAAGGGCTTCCTAACAGTGGCTCACACAGGGCTCTAAAATCTCAGGGTCAACCTTGCATGCGTGATAAAGAAAAAGTCTTTCGCTTGCACAAAACATTATAACTTTTAAGTAATATTTCTTAAAAACTATAATGAAAAGCAACTAATGCATTACATCTTTAGAGGCGCGTAGTGCTCACAAAGACCTCTCACACACTTGTGCATGGAAAGAGGCTAGTTTGCAATTAAAGATATTGGAGTACTCATAAATTAGTAAATTATTAAGTTAGCTAATTCATGAGTATTTTGGACATTTCACTTCTTCCACATATGTGACTTTGTTGCACTTGACAACAAGTTAACTGACATAAAAAGATAATAAAACGAAAAAAGGAAAGATGAAAGAAAAATCGACATATGTGCTAACAATTAGTAGAGCATATAGTATTTCACATAAAGTTGTGAGAGGTTTCACATAGGGTGTTGATTTGTGTATTGAGTTAAGTTGTGAGAGGTATCGCATAGGGCATTGATTTGTGTAATTGAGTTGAAGGTCCTCTCTTAGTTGCAAATTCCCCTGTATTTATAGAAACGAATTTCCTAATACTCAAGTAAGTTGTAGAGTTTGATAGTTTTGCAATCTGAAATTGGGTACTAGGCAGAATATCTTGTAAATAAAAATTTAATTTTGCATTGTAGACTGGTCAAATGAGCTAGTCAACTAGTTACAAGCTAGTCAGTGATAGAAAGTGCAGATGCAAGAACATATCTTAACTGACCAATATGTTCAACTAATCAGAGTCTGTTCAGATTAGTTTCACAACAATAATTCCTAAACTTGAACACGTTTACATATTAGTTCATTATGCAAACAATAACAAAACAATTATGAATTTGTATGCTGGATTGACTAGTTAAGCTCACCAGTCAACTAAGTACAGATTCATCAATTGATCAAGTGCAAATCTACGAATAAAACTTGGTTCACTACAAGTTATCCTAGTCAACAACAATTCATTTCATTGCTCATAATATGCAGTGTAAAGTTAGTCTATAACACATATCAAATAACAATTCATAGGATGCATAATACATATGCAAGTAAATAAGATATGTGAACAAGTTTAAGAGACAAAGAACTCAAGAAGTTTTTGGCCCTAAAAACCCACATCTGGGTTAAAAATCGGGGATTCTCCACTAAGTCCAATCCACTAGTGTAAACAAGATTCTTACAAAGTACCACGCAAAACTTAATTCCTAGAGCTAATCTACGGAGCCGCTTTACCTTTGTGCAACCTTACCTTACATGAGACGGATTCCTTCGGTCTTCACAAAGTGGCAACTCCTCCTGAGCTCTTCACCTTGTGGCACCAAGATCGAATCAATTTATGTAAATGAGGTTATGATGAAGTTAATGTAAATCTGGATTCGATGTCTAGTCAGTTTCACCAGTCAAACACTTGAAAGATGAAACTGACGCAAATCCAAAAAGAGGTCCGTTCAAAGATTTGAAACTTAGAAAAATTTAACCTAAAACATAAACCAAAATCACAAAAATAATGCGACCCTAATATGCAATTATGTGGGTATTTAGTGCATGAGTGTGATTTTGTGGCTAGGGTTTTCAAATAAGAACATAAGAGGTAGCTCAAAGTTAAACCAACTATTTTATGAAAAATGTAAATCTCCTAACCAAAACAAATGAGCATATAAAGAGATATAAGCAAGCAAATTCAAAGATAGATTTATAAATATTCAAAGAAAGATATTACCCATAAAGTATGCTTGATGCTCTTAGGGGATCTGAGATAGAGAAGAAAAAGTAAAGCTCTCAAATTTTCCAATCCCAGTCCCAAAAAGGACACGTGTCATGTGCAAAAGCAATATGAAAGATCTAAGGTTAAAAATCCATTTTCAAGAAAAAGCTATCAAATGGCCCATGTAGGTTGTCTTAAAGTGTGTGTCCAACTCGCGTGAAAGCAGTGAGAAGTTTTGACGAGACACAACCACTAAACAGAATGTAATGGAAATAATGAAATGAAGTGCATATATATAAACAAACCTTTGATGTGAGAAGTTAAGCTCTTAAGATAAATATTTCCAGCAACGTGATCCCAGAGAAGCATTTTAACCCTAAATCTAACTAGAGCTTGGTGGTACAATTTACAACATTTGACAAGAGAAGCCAAACAATAAATCTAGACTTCACACAATTTCTTGTCCATTGCCACCTAGTCTCACTCGAACTAGGAATCTGAATCTAATTGTATTATGTGGTGAATTCAAACTTTATCTAGAAACCAATCATAATCCTTAGGCAAGTAATTCAAATCTTATCAAAAACTCCTTTCAATCCTTAGACAATCTTTCTTTGCCTAGGACTCGGCCATGCCCGAAACCAAATCCTAATTATTAAGCATTCCTACTTCGCCTAGGATTCAACCGAGCCACCAACACTATATTACTAGGCCAAAATACACTGCTTCTTTCTGGTTCACATTTACTAACTTCGATCCAAACATTAATTTGGTCGAAATGTGGATTTTAGCCCCAAAAAATTGTCTAAGGCCATCTTCAACCGAAAGAGTAAAATATAGTACCATCCATAATTATAGCCCTGCAAAAAATAATTTTTAAATAAACAGTGTCAAGTCATACTCATATACCATCTCTAACTGAATAAGCTAAACATAGCCCCTAAATAATTTATTAGTTTTAAGTTTATACTTTGATTTTATTGGCTAATTTAGTTAAACTGATGCTGGATGTTTTCAAATATAACCATTAGATTTGAATTAATTATTGCGACTGAGGAGCTGGGCCTCGAAAAAAGAGGTAAGATGGGTGCTACATTTAACCAGCCTGATGCCCATTTGCCCAAATAATGGTTTGGTGGGCTCCTTAAAATTATAGCCCGACCGTCGGTTACAGACGAGTTTTTGGACAAATCAGGCCATTTTTTGGCTTTTGGACTTTTAGCCCTCTCCGTTGGAGATGACCTAATAAAGAAATTGATAGAGTATCTTGATTACATGGACGAAACAAAACCCAAAGATTTCCTATGGTTCAACAAATTCCCCACCATTGATGTGCCTGCTCCTAAGGCAAAAAGGTACTTCTTTTGTTTTCCATTCATCTTCATAAAATTTATTACGTTTGTTAATTTTTTTGTCAAGTGGGTGGACGCCTGTCGACACAGGAAAGCAGGCAGAGAGTGGGCAAGTGGTTATTAGGCACAACAGATCTGCATTTCTTGACTAGTCCAACAAAGTCAAATGATAGGAGTTTTAGTACCTACGCAAATAGGGTTAAAATCACTTAAAAATACTTGCAAGAGTGCAAGGTAATTGTAGTATAATCGCTCATGCAAGGTCGTTCTCCATAAGGATTGAATGAATAATTTGTAATTAAACTAGCCCTTAATTAATTAATTAAAACATATTTTAGCAAAGATTTGAGATTTTGAAATTTAAAAGATTAAAATAAACATTAAACTAATCTGAAAGGTTGCCGAAAACAAGAACAAAGCAAGAAAAAATGTTTTTTTTTAAAGAAAACAATTATGAAAAACACTAGGGTTTAGCCATCACCATTAACAATCATATGCAGTTTTACTAATCACTTATGAATTTCCACAGACATGCTTTGAAGGTTAGGTTTTCCTAATGCATATTTTCCTCGATCGTGATGTTCAAGCGAAAACGTATATCTTATATGCAACCCGTCTGTGGTGTTCAGATCAAATATAAACATGCAAGACTCATTAAGTTTTATGAAAACCTTTTGAAAAACCATGCAACTCTTAAAAGCGTGATGTTCGCCTTAAGTGAACTTACAATTACTAATCACAAGAAGCCCTCCTCAATTTTAGGGTAACGTTCCAACAAAAATTGCATCAAATTATTTGTCTAGTTACCCTAATGGTAGCTAAGCATTAAGCCAATTAGATAGTTTAAACTCAGTGATTAATAATTCAAGATAAACATGCATCCATTCATAAGCAAATTAAAACAATCACATATTCATACTAAGGCTCATGGCCTCGCCCTAGCAAAACGAATTAGTTACGCATACTCATAATAAAAACCAAAGAAAATATCATTAAGTAGAAAAAAATTGAAAACACTTTGTAGGTAAAAAGTCTGAAATTCGCCAAAACTTTGTCAAGTTCTTTCAATGCTGCGTAAAGAATCCTAATGGCTAAATTGCCTTATTTATACTACTACAAATTAAAATTCTTCCTAGAAAAAGTTCCTTAACTAGGAAACAAAATAATAAAAAGATAACTTAGAATCACAATCCAAATTAAGATAGAGAATCTGCCCAGCTGAGAAATTCCCACGTTTCTGAATCTTTAGGGTTCCAACAATGGGTCCAAAATAACTTGAATCAAAGATTAGGACCTCCTTTTCAAGTTCCAAGAAGAGCCCAAGTCCAAAATCCATCATCTTCTGGTCCAAAAGTCGCAAATAAGCTTTGCAACCCAATCTGCCAACACTGCACATTGGACATAAATTAAATCGCCATGACCAGATGCTTTGAGATGAAATTTTGAAATGCTGATACATTCTTGTTGATAGACTCATGAACCTGCTTCAATTGGAATCACTCAAAAATTCAACCATTTGACTACTTTATGCTAAAAAAAGATTCGCATGTCTTACATTTAAAATACATAATCAAGCATCATCATCTCACCAAAATAATCATCAAAACATACTAAGAATAAGGGAAAGGAAAATTTTATTTGGACCCAAAATTTTTATTTCTACACCCAACTAATAAACTTTCAAATTTATCCTTACAAAATGAAAACAAATAAAATTGAAGTCTAATTTGGATCTTCACACCCAATAAACCCCACCACCACCACTGCACGCCTGCATAATTCTGACGAACCCAACCTAAACTCCAACAACACTTAAATCAACAAATTAAGAGCGGAGAACAGGGAACAGGATTATATCCGGATTCTCTTTGTGAGGATACTAGGGATCAATTCATCCTATCCATTCATCAATTATCTAGAAATTATTTTGTTTTTTTATTTAAAATTGGTCACAAATAGTATTTAACAAAAACTGATTGCACTATATAGACTGAACGGTTATAATGAATTGATCTATAGGATCCTCACAAAGAGAATTCGGAAAAGATGCTCATAAAGAGGATTCGAAAGATTCCTTATCCGGAAAACAGACGGTCGAGGAGTCCCAATGAGAGGCTTAAAGCAAACTTGAGCTTAAAAGGTCATTCTTTCTTTCAATGACCGTAAGAACCTTGGACTAAGAACATAAGAAACCTTAGGGTTTAGCGGTCCCTTCCGCACCATATGCGTAAGCACCTTTTTCTTCATATATTGATTTACGAAAAGGAAATTAATACTATTATTCTCATGAAAAGTGGGAAAGCCAAGGAAAGAGATCCCCTCCACCCGGCTCCTTTTTATTTTCTGATTAGATAGATCCCAAGAAAGAGTCAATGGTCGTGGTACTTGGATTGCGTTCACCGGAAAAAATGGAGATGCAGTGGTGATGTGAGTTTAGGGTTGTTGATTTATTTAAGGGAAAATTTAAAGTTTAGTGGAAAAATTTTGTTAGTAAGGTGTAGATATAAAAAAGTTGGGTTCAAATAAAATTTTCCGAACTCATTACAAACAAACAAATAAACCCTACACCAGGGTTTGTCAGTTGCCGCCGCCGCGGCTATAGAGACTCATCGCCTCCGGAGCATCTCTGCGGTGCCTTGAACCCTGAATTTTCCTCTACACTTTATTGCAGTTTCTTACATTCCAAACACATTTTTTCCTCCCTGTTGTTGGACTCCGAACCTCCCAAGCCCCTCCACTTCCTCACCGATCAACACATTTTTCATCATGACTGACTCTATCACTGCCGCGACTCCGCAGTCCTCACCTCCCGCTGCTTCGATAGGAATCGAAATCTCTCCGAACCCTGTTCCGATTGCTTCTGTTACAATTCAAGAACGGAACAAAGGAGGGTGGTGGAATAACTTGCTGGACAAGGAGGAGGCCAAGAAGCAGATCGTGCTTTCGCTGCCATTGATTCTTACTAACGTTTGCTATTACCTGATCCCGGTGGTGTCCGTCATGTTTGCCGGTCACCTTGGGGAGCTGGAGCTTGCTGCTGCAAATCTTGCCAATTCATGGGCCACCGTTACTGGCTTCGCTTTCATGGTATGGCAAAACCCTCACAATCACTATACGTACTCTTATATCATGCACTGTCTATTATAATATTATTATTAAGCAATGCAAGTATACACGAGCCAACAATCCCAATATGTCTATTTTGTCGATTTCCCTAGTGATAAGTCGAGTTGTCATCGAACCGTCCGAACCGCCCAACCTGGCTGTTCCGAACCGTTGTGGGCGTTTCGGTTTGATTTTGGTGCTCAAAAACTCGAACGGTCTCAGAACGGAGTCAGTAGTTTGTGGTTCTCGCTTTTATTTTTGTTGGTACAATGAGTTTTTTTTTTTTTTTGTGTGCACTAGTTGTATTATCATGTTTGATATACTGATTTGTGTGCACGACACCATAAAAAATCTCTTGATACAATGAATAGTAAGAACGAAGGTTATGCAAAACTCAACGGAACAAAAGATGCATCTAAAACACATAAAAATGGACCACAGTTTTCGTATTTTATAAATTGCTTCAAATTGGATTGCCCCGTAACTTTCTTATTTATTCTTTTTCTGCACATTTCATCTTTTATTTGTATTTCTTTACGATTTTTTTTATGTGTTGCAAACCTTGGATTTTAATAACTAAACTTAGATGGTTTTGTAGTTTATTTGTATTTACATGCAGATGTATGGTTGTATGAGAGAAGTGATAACATTGAAGTCTTAATTACTTTGTTATTTGATGACATGATTATTTCATAATATTAAGGAAACTGTTATTAACACTCCAAAAATCTTATTCTACATTCCTCACAAGTTTAATTTCTTTTTTTTTTTCTTCTAATTATAGATAGTTTGGCGTGCAAAATTAGATTTTTAAAGTGCTAATAACAATTTCTAATATTAAAAACTATTTAGTTTTCATTTTTGTTTCAAAATGGCATTTACAAATGCTACCTGAAAAACAATTGGAAGAAATGTACCCTCTCAAATCTCAATTTAAAAGTTGTCGCAATGTTCCTTCCGTCCAAAAAGTTGGATTTCTTTCGCACTTGATCCTTAAAAAAAAGTTCTATTGATATTCAATCATCATAATACCCTTCGAAGGGTCACCTTCTTGACAAATTTTTGGATATAAAAAAATAGATCGAGTTGGATTAAAAGTGACAGGACATTGCAAACAATTTTGAATTGATGTTACGTATTGCTTGAATTTCTTTTCAGATGGCATTGGTACAATGAAAGGGAATCAAATCTTTGACCTCACCACTTACGTGAACCCGAGGGGCTTAGGAACTTCTATTATTTATTTCTACATGCTTACAACAACAACAAAAACCAAACTTTATTTCACTAAGCAAAGTTGATTGTATAAATTCTAAAACGTCACCACGCTCCGTTTGTGCCAAGTCTTTCGTTGGATCTAATTACTTCATGTCTTTTCTTAAAGTCTCTTTCAAAGTCATCCTAAATCTTCCTCTACTCTTTTTGCCCTAACCGTCCGTCTCATAGTCACATCTTCTAACTGAGGCATTTGTAAGCCTTCGGCTCACGTGTACAAACCACCTTAACGGATTTTCTCTCATCTTATCTTCAATTGTGATCACTCCTACTTTACTTTGGATATCATTGTTCTTAATCCTGTTCTTTCTCGTGTGCCCACACATCAAACGAAGTATTCTTATCTTCGCTACACTCATTTTTTGCATGTGTTGCTTTTTGACCACCCAACATTCTATGTCATAAAGCATTGTTGACCTTATTGTCATCCTTTAAAATTTTCCCTTGAGCTTTAATTGCATACAATAGTCGCACAACACCCGATGCACTTTTCCACTTCATCCACCCAATTTGTATTTTATAGTTGAGACCTCCATCTAATTTTTTATTCTTTTGCAACATAGATTCAAGATACTTAAAGCGTTCACTCTTTGTATTTCCTGATCTCAAATCCTCACTCATATCTCATTTTGATCCCATTCTCACTAAACTTGCATGCTATATACTCTATCTTTGTCTACTTAGGCGAAGACCTTTATATTCTAACACTTCCTGCCAAAGGGTAAGCTTCAGATTTACTCCCTCTTGTGTCTCATCTATCAGCACTATATCATCTGCGAAGAGCATACACTAAGGGATATCATCTTAAGTATGTCTCATTAACTCGTCAATTACTAATGCAAAATGGTAAGGACTTGAAGCTGAGCCTTAGTGTACCCTTAGTTGTGAGAAAGCTTTCAGTTTGTCCTTCATAAGTTCTTACTGTAGCCTTGCTCTGTCATACATATTCTTTATTGCTTGGATATACACTACTTGTACTTCTTTCTTCTCTAGAATCATGCAAAGAATTTCTCTTGGGACCCTATCATACGCTTTTTCCAAATCTATAAAAATCATGTGCAAATCCTTTCGTATATCTCTATATCGTTCAATTGATCTTTGTTAGAGATGGATTGCCTCTATAGTCGAGTGCCCTGGCATGATCCCAAATTGATTATGTGTCCTGTGTCTCTTGTCTTAGGCTATGCTCAATTACTCTCTCCTTAAGCTTCATGGTATGACTCATTAACTTAATACCCCTATAGCTCATGTAATTTTGTACGTCGCCCTTATTCTTCTAGATAGGCACCAAAATGAATTTTCGTTGGCATCTTCTTCGTTGTCAAAATCTTATTGAAAAGGTTTGTGATTGATGCTATACCCGTCTCTCCCAAGACCTTCAACACTTAGACAGTATATTGTCGAGACCCATTACTTTTCTATGCTTTATGCTTCATCATTTTCAATGCTACATCCACTTCGTCCTTCTTGATTTGATGGCAGAAAGAATAATTTCTACAATCTTCCGAGTTATTTAACGCACCCAACAAAGTACTCCTTTCGTGTTTTTCATTGAAGAGATTATAAACATAAACTCTCTATCTGTCTTTAACCGTGTTCTCGTAGCCAGAACATTTTCATTCTCATCCTTGATGCACCTTACTTGGTTCAAATCTCTTGTCTTCCTTTTCCTTGCTCTAGCCAGTTTATAGATATCCAACCCTCCTTCTTTGGTATATAATCTCTTATACATGTCGTCAAAAGCCACTTGCTTAGATTTTCTCACGAATTTCTTTGCCTTTTTCTTTGCTATCTTACCTCTCACATTTTTCATTAGTTCTGTTCTTGTGTAAGGCTTTACAACATTCCTTCTCAGCCTTAACCTTTTTTTGTACCTCCTCCTTCCACCACCAAGATTCCTTTCTACGTGGAGCAAAACCCTTAGGCTCTCGTAATACCCCTTCTGCAACTGTTCGGAAACAACTAGTCATGGAATCTCACATTTGGCTAGCGTTCCCCTCTATTTCCCAAACAAATTGGGTGAGTACTTTCTCTGTGAAAGTGACTTGTTTTTTAGATCTCACCATCTAGTTCTTGGACACTTCAAGTTCTTGTTCTTCCTTTTATCTCTTTTGATATGTACATCCATTACCAAAAGTCGACGTTGGTTAGCAAGCTCTCCCATGGTATAAATTTACAATTCTTACAAGTTATACAATTCCCCTTCCTTAGTAAAAAGAATCTATTTGTGTCTTTGATGACCCATTCTTGTAAGTGATCACATGCTTCTCTTTTCTTGAAGAAAGTAATGGCTAGATAGAGATCATATGCATAGCAAAATCCAAAATGGCTTCCCCTCCTCGATTCTCTCCCCAAAACCATGGCCACCATGAAAACTTTTATAGTTACTGAACTAAAAATATTTACACCATACATATATTTGCGTCTGTATATTTGCCTGTCCAATATGTATGCTTCAAAAAGACAAATGAATAGTTCCCCTACAAGACTTAGATCTGCTCTTGATATTAGTTGGTAAGAGGTTTGGCAACCTAATCGAAAACCCAAGTAGTAGCTCAATTTGGTTGTAATGAAAGTGCATGAACTTCATATCTACTCGTTTTATCAATTTATTGTCACAAGTTTTCGTATTGAGATTCAGTATTCTGCCAAGAAATATATTTCATTACTGTTCTTAGGAGTTTATATTACTTAATTTTGATTCCCCGAATTGCTTATCTTGCTTTAAAGCCGATGTTGATTCAAGTTGCATATTGTGAAGCCATGTACAAGAATTGTGTATCTAGCAAGCAGTCTGTCCTCAGGAGATGATAATCTGAATTTGGACTTACATTTACCTTGTCCTTATGTTTTAACATTATAGTAACTGGGAAATTTGAAACTATATGTTCAGAATTGTAATCGAGATGACATGAAATTTAATAAGAATACATGCCTTTTCTTTGAGTTGTTCTTTTGTCTAATTATTTCTTGGTTTAGGTTGGTTTAAGTGGAGCTCTTGAGACGCTGTGTGGCCAGGGGTTCGGTGCAAAGTTATACAGAATGTTAGGGATTTATCTACAAGCGTCTTCCATCATTTCTTTCGCGGTCCCTATCATCATATCTATAATCTGGTGGTTTACGGAGCCCATATTCATCTTACTTCATCAAGATCCTCAAATTTCCAAATATGCTGCTCTCTATATCAAATTTCTGATTCCAGGACTATTTGCCTATGGCTTCCTTCATAATATTTTGAGATTTCTTCAGACACAATCGGTTGTCATGCCATTGGTCTTTTTCTCAGTGATCCCTTTGGCTCTTCATGTTCTTGTTGCATACGGTTTGGTACACTGGACAACTCTTGGTTTCAGGGGAGCTCCGCTAGCAGCTTCAATTTCGATATGGATATCAATGCTTATGTTGGCCATGTATGTTATGTGTGCGAAAAAGTTTGAGCGTACGTGGGAAGGATTTTCATTTGAATCATTTCATTATGTCCTCATGGACTTGAAGCTTGCCCTCCCATCCGCAGCAATGGTATGGTAAGTGTTCTTCAATTTTAGTTTTACTTGTTTTCGTATGTTTAACTACAGGAAAGACTGATTTCCGGCTTAGATCAGTAAGCAAAATTTATTGAAGTTCATAAAGCCGGAGCCTTTGAAATTTTAGTACTAAGGTCTTCACCTTTTTATCTTTCAGTTTGGAGTACTGGGCTTTTGAGATTCTAGTGTTCTTGGCGGGAGTGATGCCAAATGCGAAACAAATCACTTCCCTGATTGCAATGTGGTAAGCTTTCGGTTTTAAACGCTTGATTTTCAACTGACTCAAGTAGCCTTTTTCTTAATCATCTCTCTAGTGTGAATACAGAGGCAATTGCATACATGATTACGTATGGCCTGAGCGCTGCTGCAAGGTTGGTAGAACAATAAATCCTGGGTTATTCTTATCCCTCCAAGTTTTTCAGTACCTGCATTCTGTTTCACCATCTGAAACATGTATTACTGTTTTGGGTAGTACAAGGGTGTCAAATGAACTGGGAGCAGGCAATCCGGGCAAAGCGAAGAAAGCAATGGTGGTGACTCTTAAGCTCTCCGTGCTTCTTGCTCTCCTCGTTGATCTGGCTCTAGCAGTTGGTCACAATTTATGGGCTGGCCTTTTCAGCGACAGCCGTGCAATAATCAAGCTATTTGCTTATATGACACCGTTTCTTGCCATATCAATACTTGCAGATTCCGTCCAAGGTGTCTTATCAGGTTGGGATCATCTAGTATTTCCATGGGGGCTATTTAATCTACTATTCTAGTGAGCATCTTTGAAATGACTTTTGGTATTTTAGGTGTGGCCAGAGGATGTGGGTGGCAGCACTTGGCTGTGTACGTAAACTTGGGCACGTTCTATTTGATCGGGATGACAATTGCAGGTGTTCTTGGGTTTAAGGCGAAACTCTACGCTAAGGTGAGACCGCCATCCTTGTAATTTTTAGCACACCCAAATACTTGTACACACTCATATCAGTTGAGATTACTCAATTCCTATGCTATATAGAGAAAGTGGAACAAGCAGGGGGCTAATAGTCGATTGGTTTTGTTTATATAATCTAATTCATCTAACATTTTGTGCTTGATTCGACACAGGGCTTATGGCTCGGTTTAATCTGTGGCGTTTGCTGTCAAGCCGGCCTACTTTTGTTGGTTATGCTGCGCAGAAAGTGGATTCGGTTGGATTTAGCCCATACTGCATAGGCAGTTTTTGGTCTAAACAAAGTCCTCAAGCAAAACTTTTAAGCAACACCATTTGGCCAAATTATTCCACTAGTTTTGTTGGTTAGGCTGCGCAGAATGTGCATTTGCTATATATTTTTTAGGCAAAGCTTGTATTAGTTGGAGTGGGTTTGCGATATTTAAACTCTTCATTTCTCAGAGATAAGATCGATGTGGAATTTCAACAACTTGCGCTCTGTTAACCGGACTTGCAAGCTACTTTGAGTTTGAGCAAGTTTTGCACATTGTATCCTAATAACACAACAAATAAACATATGAACTAATACGATTGTTTACGATTTCATGTGTTTTTTTCAATGTAATGTAATTTGAATGATAATTATTCGTTGTGAATCTAAAATTGGCACTGCATTTTAGGTATTTTCAATTCCATGTGTTTTTTTCTTTCAATGTAATGTAATTTGAATGGTAATTATTTGTTGTGAACCTAAATTGGCATTGCAATTTAGGTATTTTCGATTTCATGTGTTTTTTTTCCCAATGTAATGTAATTTTAATGGTTTAAAATTGGCAATGCATTTTGGGTATTTTCGATTTCATGTGTTCTTTTTCAATGCAATGTATTTTGAAAGGTAATTATTCGTTGTGAAACTAAAATTTGCCCTGCATTTGAATTTTGGGTGTAGTGTCCTATATTTTTGGGCAACACATTGGAGTGCCTTGGGACTTTGGTTGAGATTTTTGGGTACCTTATGGTTGACAGCCTTGTAGTGTGTAATGGATAATTAGACTCAAGTTATAAGTTTGCATGAGAATGATGCAGAGAGAAGACGAAGGGAAACTGATGATGGCTGCATGAGAGAGAAAGGTACGATTTATAGGGCAAAAATATATATTTTTTTGGATGAATCTAGGGTATCCCCGCACATAGATGAGGACTAATCCCTCGAGCTGGGTCAAACCCCATTTGGGGGGCAAGCTCTCTCAATGTTGGCTTCTCCATTAACAAGGCTCCAACTCAAGATCTTGCTTAAGGGGAACAAGCTCCTTACCACTTGAACCACTAAGCATTGGTATAGGGCAAAAATATTCATATAGTAACAAGACATGAACAAATGCACGTGATGATGGACTTTGGACATTAGCAGTCATATGTCTGGAGGATGGAGCGAAAGCTAAAACTATAGTTCTACGAATGGGGCAATGACACGTAAGGAACTTTGTCCCTTTCTTTTTCGTTATCCATTGCAAGTAGAGTTCACTTGAATGCATAGGCCGGCCAAAAAGGCAAAAACCATTGGAAGTAATGAGGGAGTTGGTAAGCGAGTTCTAAACAACTTTTCGGCTTCGGATACCATATATATATATATAGCAACAAAGAAAATGAGTGAACCACCACGGGAAGATTAGTTTCTGATTATTCAATGAGCATCTTGTATGTGAATTGCGTGAAAGTAGGATACTATAAATTTAGTAGTTAAAGAATTTTATAAAACGTTTTTTATGGAAAAAAAAGGATATAAAAGATCTCACTGAATTAAATTTGATCTATGAATCTTAGAAATAGTGAGAATTTTGAATCTCTCTCACAAAGAAGAGTTGAAATTATTATATTAAAGAAAGGATGAGATCAATTTAGAGGTACCTTTTTACTTAATTTCGAATTAAAATAATTATAATAGACCTAATTCAATTGGTCTAATTTGGGGCCAACCGATAGTTACCCATCCTACAAACATATCAAGATTAAAAGAAAGAACATGGAGTGGCTTAGCGGTTCGGATTTAATTCCAAACCCATAGTCCACACGGCACATCCTGAATTCAATTTCTAACACTCTGGATCACACAATGGTGACCCCCTAGAAGGGTTAACTGTAGTCGTAAAGCCACCAGCTGGTCCTTTTTTAATAAACAAAGAAAGAAAGTGGTGGATGGAGATTCCATGTGGGTTCCCTTCCCTTGGCGTTAAGGCATTTGAAGTGGAAGAGATAACTGGGTTTAGAATAATAAGCAACAAAAGTAGACTGATCGAGACTAAAACCAAAAGAGACATTACAATTGATGCTTCATTTCTCACTGCCGCATTTTGTTACTGCTCATACTTTCTTTTCTTCAACACACACATAATATACACAAACAAGACGCCGCCTCTACACACACCCTACAACTAAATTTTGTACAGTTGAAATGCGAGCGAGTGAAAACACAACTATTTCTCGCATTCCAACAAGAATTTCAGAAATTTCAAAGTCATCATTCCTGTTACCTACAAAACAATACTACAGGCGATGCCGAGAAAATTGAATCTGGTGCTCTTCGTCCTGCATATCTTGAAAAGTACATCGGTATGTTGAGGCTTGTGATGATTGGGAAGATAACCAGCTACTATTAAGAGCAAGGATGACACAAGCATGTCTATCCACTATACAGTTTGATCAACACCCATCTTTTGATGAATATCAACAACAAGATCCCGCAGCTCAGGGAAAATTGAAACAAGTGACAGTTCAAGTACTGCATATGCAAGTTGCTTTATGCAGATGGTAGACTGCACAGCAGAATAATGCGAAATTAACATGTTTGTTTTCCTTGAAAGAAATGACATTATTGAAGAATCCGTCAAACTTAAATTTTCAGCAGACAATGCAAAAGGATGAGAGGCTAACCTGAGTGAAATAATAAATGTCTCTTGCACAACGTCTGTACTGCTTATGCCCAATTAAGCTGACCAAGGCCGTCGGAGTTCCATCTGATAAAGTGGGGATCAGTTTTTTGTGTTTTCATGTATTGGTCAAAGGAATTTATTAAATAATTACACACGTCGGTCTTAAGTCTTCACACTAGTCTAACAACCACGGCATACTATATATATATATATATGAAAACTGACTAGAGTATATATCACAAAATTCTATGCCAAAATTCTATGCATATACAGAGAAAGTGGCAGAAGATTCGTGAGTTATGCCACAAAATTCTATGCCAAGAACTTTATTTCACCTTTGTGACAACAACTGACTAGAATATATATCACAAATTACAATCTAGACTCACATCCCTATAGAATTAGTACTCCAATTCTTTGGATTCATGTCTGTATAAGATCGTAAGTGTCGTATGAAAAGCGATTATTAACTTACATCTATGAGCAACACCACACGAATTTTTCTCCGTTGAAAAAAAAAAGGTTGAAATCTCACACCATACAACTCTTAGAAAGTTTTAATATAAGCCCTTATTAAAAACCACCAAAGAAATGAATAAATATAGCACAGATGTTTCACTAAAACAGTAAAACTACACAGGGCAGTACCATTACCAGGAAGACTAAGGCTGCAACCTCAAGCTAAAACACAGGAACACTAAGCAGAAATAGATAAAATTAACTACTCACCAAAGAGCATTTTCTTGATGTCACTAGCTCTACGAGCAGCCTCAAGCTGCTGCTCAAAAGACACCGGTTTACCAGCCTTACTTCCACCAAGCTGACTTGCATTATGAAGAGGGTTTTGGTTGTCATCTTGAACATTGCCGATTCTAAGGAAGAATGTGCCATTGGGCCACAGAACCTAAAAAAACACACGATTATTTTTGTCAGAAAAGGTCACATGATTAGAAAGCAAAAATAAATAACTCTTTTCCTTTCAAATTTCTAAAATATTCCCTTGGACTGCAAGAATAATTATACATTGAAAACAAATCTAGGAAAGACATGCCAAAGTTATGGTGATCAAGAATTGGGAGTTCACAGAAATTAAAACTGAAAAAACAGGAGTACATTAAGTGGCTTGGTTCAAGTGCAAGCAAAAAGTCTTCAAGCTTCGAGAAAGACAATTCTAAAGAAACAAAGAGAAAAAAAAAACCTCTATATGATTTTTGCAGAGAGTAAATTAAAAACAAGAATGGGCTTTAAACAGGACTTGGCTTTTACTGGTCAACAATATTCCCTTTAAGCAATGTAGATTTACTTTCTGTCGGGTCCTTAAGCTCGCCTACAACCAACATCGATTTTGCAATTATAAATAATTAATAGTAAGGGCATTGTTTTGCACAGGGACTGAACCTGCTGAATGGAACCACCCAACAGGCCTCATCGCTCTCAATTTCAGAAACCTACTGAGGAATGCCCAGGCAAAGGTGACTCCATTCACATATGAAACACAGTTACCATAATATAATGTGGTAGACAAATAAGCACCAATAAACAATTTGTGTAACTATTCTTTTGCAGTATTCAATTAAGCTTTAAACTTAATGCTGCTAATGGAATATACTGCTTACACCACTAAGTTGATTTATGCTTTTACAGTAAAATGAAGATGTTTATGATTGGTTCAGTCCTTACATCTTTAAGCCAATAAATTCCCGAAGCAATAACATCCTCCCTCCGAAGCCAATGAATCTGCCTCATGAGCCAGTCATCAATAGCATCCTCCATCATTAACTGCAATATTTGTTTTGACATCCAAAAGACCTGTCTTCTGCATGGACCAAAGAAAACATGTGTAAAAGACCAGTTATTTACTCTAATTACACACGTTCCAGCACTACTTTTTATATACAATTCAGCCCATATATGGGACTTTGCTTGCATACTAAAAGGAATAAAGAAAAGAAGCTTATAAAGCTACAAACAGTTACTCATACAGTCATACACAGGGAGAAGAATAACAATACAATCAGAAAACCATAGTTATTGAATGCATTAAATACAAATGAGAAAAGGCTTTTCCATAAAATTTAAAAACCATGCTAGAACAAACTAAGTAATAGGATAAAAGCCTAATAAAACTAAGGAATTATTACTCATACACCAAGAAGAATGCAAAATTCGTTGACTTGAAAGAATAGATTGAATAAATGGGGAAAATAATTGGATGAGATGAGCAACCGAAAGAAATATAAACACAACAAAGAGAAATGGCATATCGAATAACCGAACTATAAAAACCTTGCCCTGATGGCATATGGTATTGGTTACTTTCAACGTTTCAAAAAAAAAAAAAAAAAACAAAACAAAAAAAAGGCTGGATGGCAGAATATTTATTGTTTTGTTGGTTGGACTGCTGGACAATGCTGTTCTACTTCACATACTTTATTAAATGAATTTATTATAATACTGGATACCAATCATGCATGTGCACAATGCTTTTATCCAATATCAAGTTACTAAAGCCGATTACATACCTGAGGTACACTCGGCAAATTAAAGACATCAAAATTAATGAGCAAGTCAATAATCAATATAGAATCATGCAGCATCAGAATATTCCCTTGAAGTATTAAAAAGAAAACATGATTTCCTAGCAATGAATATAAATAAAAATAAATTTAAT